ATGACAAACATGAGTATGTCCAAAACTGTCAAAGCATACATATCACATCTATGTTAGTTAAGTTATTAGTTAAATTTTCCATTACTACATCTATTAGTATACCGGTACCAACATAAGAAATTTTTTGAAATTTTTCTGAAAAAAAAAACATTATCTTTATTGACTGATCGGATACGAAATCAGATCTGTATAGATGAATTAAAACAAATATCCACTTCTAAAGTTAGATTTTTTATATATAGCGTTCAAAAAATTTTGAGGAATTATTAATTTAAAATCATTCTTGGGTACTGTCTTATAACCAACAGAACGTTTTGACTTTTCTATAAATATAATATTTATGATATAATATATCCAGATAAAAAACAATTGTTTTACAATCCGATAAATTACTTATTTTCTTGTTTTTATAATATTAATTGTTAATTAAAGTTTTACTAGTAATAATGTTATAGTAACATACTAATAGAGATAAGAACTGATAACTTATCGATTAGTAAACACACCACACATTTCTCGTGTTTGTATTTTTTAAAAAAGATAATATCCCAAAATAAATTAATTAATAAAAATAAACTTTTGTTTGTAGATAATAATTATGAATATCTTAAATACCAACACTATCATACTATATATCAGGGTTTCTCAACCACTAGTTCATGCCATTAGCACCACTGGTATGTAAAATATTAAATAAAAATATAAATATTATCGTCTTTAATAATATTTTTTTAGACATTGTATATTGTTAAATACATACTTATATATATATATATATAGAATATATGGAATATTTTACCTTACCTTGAATATTTTCCAGGTCCGCAGTATGATTTGAGTTGAGAAACACTGCTATATATTATATTACTGAAAAGTAAAAATTTTTATATCACACATAAAATATATACGGATTTGATTTTATAAAAGTACATTATATATTTAAATTTAATTTTATATAGATATATTTTAATATACTTAATTCTTTAAATATTTTAGTACTGGAATTTCGAATAATATGGGAAATCATATTGTTAAATGGTTAGAATTATATCCCGGTGTACGCCCAAAAATTGGAACTTTAGATATGCACTTTTTTACACCAATTATGCGTGAATTACTAAGGTTATGGGGTCTTGTATCAGTATCTAAGGAATCACTTATGTATCATTTAACTAAATCAAATGATCCAAAGCATCCTGATAATAAAGACGGTTTCACATCAAATGCTGTAGCTATTTTAGTAGGTGGAGCACAAGAAGCACTCGACTCACACCCGGGACGTTATATTTTAACGCTTAAAAGACGCAAGGGATTTGTTAAATTGGCTATTAGAACAGGGTAAGTAAAAATACATACTATATATACATACAATATATTCTTGACTTTAGTTCCCCAATTGTGCCATCATTTTCATTTGGAGAAGTTGATATATTTGATCAAGTTAATAATCCACCTGATTCGTGGCTTAGACGTTTTCAGTCGTTAACTAAAAAACTTACTGGCATTTCACCATTAATAGTGCTCGGACGTGGGTTTTTCCAATATACTTTTGGATTGTTGCCACAACGTAAACATATCGTACAAGTTGGTGAGTTAACATAGTTTGTTTGGATCTAATTTAACTATATAATTTCTTTTATTTAATTTTTATGATTTTTATTTTTTATTATAGTTGGAGCACCTATTGAGGTTGTCAGAAATAATAATCCCGATCCTGCATACGTAGATGAAATACATCAAAAAGTTATTGATGCTCTAAATGATCTTTTTGAAACACACAAAGAAAAATACATTGAAAATTGTAAAGAACTGCATTTAGTCATAACGTAAAGTAGATTAAAGTTTTATTAAAGTAATTTTATTAATAATTAGATTAAGTTATTTTAGTTTAAAATAGTTTTGTAAAAAAAGTTTTTCAAAGATAAATGAATATTTTTTTATATTAAAAATAGTTTTTTAATTACACAAAGTTTGCGAAAATGTGAAATTGTTGACAAGTTATTCCTTACAGGCCACTAACCTATAAGCATTACCAGTTATAGGGCAAGTTTAAAAAGTTGCGGCATTTGACCGACTTAATAGAAACAATATCAGAAATGCTTTATATAATGAATAGAGCTAAAAGGAGAAGACACTCGAAGCCCACACGTCAGCCCTCCACGCTAGAATAAGCAAATACTATATTTTTGACGACATAGAGAGCATTCATCGACATTGGGACTGATAGTGTTAGTCAACAAAAAAGAGAAGGCTGAAGACCGCTAAAGATGCTCCAGCGAACTGGGTATTTAAAGCAGTAATTGGAAGAAAAAGGTGTAGAGGTTTCCGGTGGAGTGATCATGTTGATGTAGCGTAAGCACTAACCGAACTTTATGTATGAGACTAGAGGAGCCGCGCACGTAGCAGAGACATCTGGAAAGATATGCCGACACACGGTAATGGGCTGTTATGGCCAATTAAGTAATTAATGATCATATTTTATGCCCCTGCATAGCTATAAACTACTTTTAGGGGAATATCATAAACTTTATAGTTTTTAAAAATCAAGCAAAATGTTTACTTTTTATTTAATAATTTGTATTAGAGGTGAAAATATATTCAGATCAGTATATCTGATGCTGCTTTAGAGGCGGTTCTTTGTTGTTTACATATTTTATATGTAATGTTTACGTATTTTATATAATAAATTTAAACAAATTTTATTTTTTTAACATAAGCATAATTTTTATTATCTTTGTTATTATTTTTTTTCAAGTTTGATCATTTTAAATAATTTTTTTTTTCAATTAATACTTATATATAACTTTTATATATAAAAGGAACATCGAGATGCTTTCGACAACCTACGCTAAGTAATATAAAAATAAATTATAATCGCATTAATTAAAACTTAATCGCTTGTTCAATAAATGTGTTTTTTTAGGATATATTACAGAATTCTGAGTACATCAGATAGGAGAATAAAAATAGGATACATGCATTTCTAGATTAAAAGATATTATTATGTACTTGTATTTTATATAGTTATATTTTTATGTGCCATTCTTTTATTACATTATTACTATTATTCGTAATATATGTAGGTCGGAGATGTATTGTAAACATGATATATATTTTCTATATACTTAAAATTTTAAACTTTTCACGAAATATCTCATATAAACATTTCACAGAAGTAAAATGTTAGAGTTGGTGATAATATTATTAGTATATAGTTTAATAATAGAATTGGATTAGTCATTAGGTATAAGAAGAGAATCAAAATCAGAACACTGAGCAAAACAAAAGTTTACATGAAACATTCTTAAAAATTGTAAAAATCTATCAGATATATTTTCATTGACACAAAAAAAATTAAATATTCTGAAAAACTTTATATTACTTTCTGGTTTCTTATAACATTCTATGTTAAAGGTCAAATATATATTTATATTTTTTTAAATTTAATGTTCCGAGAAAGTTTTATTCACACTGTTAAATTAAGCAATCTAGATAAGGGCAGTTTTTTTTCTTTCTTTCCAATATTTTTATATCTACTAACATAGTAATATACTATTCCACTTCATTAAAATACTATAAGGCTTCTTTCAAAATGATAACTTAAATAATATTTCATATTTAATTATTTAATAAAAGTTCTATAATAAATCTTTCTTTTTTTTTACATGAAATACAATTTTGGACTGAGCGTACTCTATGTGATTTTCTTATTTACCAGAAAGAAATTTAAAAGGTCTAATTTTTATATCTATTTAATATAACCAAACTTCAATAAAATTAAAATAAATTTTTGTATTTGTCCTTTATTTCTTTCTTTGCTATTCAAAACCCGTCTATATTTAATATAACAAAAATACCACGCTTTCTATACATTTCAATATTTTCTTGAAATTGCTACTTTTAATATAATCAAATGCTTATATTATTATTTCATTGACTAATCCTTTTTAATTCAAATTATTTACACCTCTACAGTTTTATTTTAAATTCAATAAATATTATACAATGTATAATATATATTATGTTCTACACTATTTAGACAATAAAATGGATTAAGTTCTGTTTGTAAAAGTAATCCAATTAGTGTGAAGAATATTATATATAGTTACGTATAATGATTTTCCAATTAATCCAATTAAAATTAGTTCTTTATTAAGTTACTGAATTCAATAACTTTAATTGAAATTACACTAAAAACCATGAAAGAAAGTATAACTAGAAAGACCGTCAGTGGAACTATTACTTAACAGAACTCAAGTGTTCTTTTTCTGATTCATTATGTTGAAGCTATTTGAGCCAGTGCACTTGAACACTCTTACTCTTTATTAATTCGTGGTATCTTCAAAACCCCTCTTTACGCCTTGACTGTATTATTGTTTATAACATCATCAGACTAAGCTGTAATTGACCTCAGATCTGCATACCTCCCCAAGGAGCCGGTAACCATTCTGAGATTCGATAACGCGATATTATCGATTTTGTGATTTAGTTATATGATAAAAAAATACTTGATATAGAAAATATTAGTATTATACATTTAAATGTATTAAAATCAATTAATATATCTCCGACCTATTGTTTGTTTACTAATTTGATGTATATATCAGTTATTCATGTTAGTACTCGAGAATAATTTGGCATCTCTCGAGAGCACACATATGTATATTTGTCTATCGGGTGGTTTAATTATATATATATTGTGTTGGAAAATTTATTTGTATTGTAATTAGTACTATAATTTTACGACTTTCTTAATTAGCAATAATTATTAATTAATTTTATTTAATCTGTGTAAATATAGAAAAAACCAACAGTTTTCAGCATAATTCACAATTGATAGTTTTCAGGTGTTTTTTTTTTATATTTTTAATAATATCGAATATATAAATGCTATTAGAGATTACTAAACACTCTTGGTGGTTTTATTACAGACAATAAAATAATATAAAATAAAAATTATTATAATCAAATAATAAAGAAAAAATAAAAATCAATAGAAAGTATACATTTTATATGTGGGACTTTCATTCTATACGACAGTAATTTAGAAACAAAACCGACATGGATTATATGGGTTTATGAATGTAGATAAATTGAATGGTATAAAAATTTTAACATTTTAGAATAAACGATACTTCACTAAATTGAAGAATATATCCATATGACCGCGGATAATTGTCAGTTTTAATAGATACTAAGGTATATATATTATATACCTTCTTTAAATAATCAATATTTTTCGTTGTTGTGTACGTGTTAACGGTTGGGAGAAATAAATGGTTTTTAAATTGTAATTAGGAAAAATCTTATTATTAGACATAATAAGTTATAACATTAAAATAATAATATAACTAATAATGTTTGTAGATATATTAGAAGATTTTGAAAGGAACTCTCATATTATTTTCTCAGTTCCATTCTCCACTATTACTGCCTATATTTCATTTTCTACTTTCTACTTTCCACTTTTCTTTATTTATATTGTAATCGTGATTACCCCATTAAAATAACTCTTAACTATATCCGTAGGCTTCAAACAGAAATGATGGAAAGAAAAACAGGGGTACATTTATCCACTTCTATGTGGATATCCATATCTATAAATTTCATCCACTTTTTTTAATTTTATTATTTACCCGAACTTGAAAGTTTTGCTAACCCATTGATGCGAAACTACACGTTAAACAAATTTAAATGGGTGTATGTAAAAAAATATTTTCAATACGTTTAGCCTATGCAGAGTTACTTATAGTATAACCACTACATATAGTGTGAAGAACAGAATGAAGAGGTTTAATTTTACGCCGACTTGCTTATAATACAACAACTAAGAATAAAATAAAGAGTTTTCACCTTATGCGGATATACTCAAAGTATAATAACTAATAATAGATCAATTTCAACATATGTGCAACTATATGTTACTATATTTTACGTTGAGTTGGAATGATATAGCTTTAGACAAATGAGGTTTCTTCTAGAAACATTAAACTTGATCGTATTGTTTAAAAACTTCTCTTACCGTCTTTGGTATAATAGTCTACCTACTGAGTATGTTGTATGTTGCAAAAAGTGAGACAATGATGATACCCTACGGAAGTAATTTTTATTACAGCGCCCATCTGTAATGTATCTGAAGTTATTTCAATAGTAGATTTTCAAGTAGATTTTCATCTCAATGCATACCGGGTTGTTGATTTGTTCAGTGCAAATCTGTATTTTGAGTAACGACTTGAATTGAAAATGAAATGAAATAATATGCGTTATAACACTAAAAAAGATTATATCTTCCTAATACGTTTATTGACCTTTAAATATAAACAATAAATTTAGTACCATGTCAACTGTTTTTTTTTTTGTGTTATTAAAAACTAGTATTCAGTCGTCATTCATTGATCTATTAAATCATTTGTTGAAGTAAATATGAATCATATGCTTTTTAGAAATTAAGCTCATAAAATACTTTGTGATTTAAATAAGAATTAAATACATTACTGCGACCGGATCAAAACCATAATAATCTATTCTTGATCCAAAATAATCCCATTTTTTCCACACTCGTTTTATAAACATATAGGCATTAATCTGGTATTAAATATGATCCCATGTGACAAATACATCACTTTTACAGCTATAATATTATCATAATCAACTCTACATGGAATTTTGATATACCAACAATAATAAATTGCAAAAGCATTCAATCTTTAATATCCACAGTCAAATAATAATATGAAATCATATACAAATTAAACTTTTCATAACAGAAGAGAGAAGAGTTCGATATTCCGGTATTCTCTTTAGAATAGAATTCAATCTTTAATATCCACAGTCAAATAATAATATGAAATCATATATAAATTAAACTTTTCATAACAGAAGAATTCGATATTCCGATATACTCTTAAGAATAAATTGTTTTTAATTATTATAGGCAAGTTATTTGATCATTTCTAGCAGTGGCCTATATACCGAAACTATTTGTCTATGACATATAGTTTATCTATATCTATGACATTTCACCGTCTATAATTACACCGAGTAAAGGTTGCAAGAACGTCCGAGTTTACGTCCCGGAGCCGTGTGCCAATCAACACCCCCTTAAGGGACTGCACAAGCAGGTCCCAGCGGGTCACAACAACAACAAGGAGGTAAGAATAATTAGCTATGTTGTCAACAAAATAGAACGTTCTATGTTGAATATTTATGTTGAATATTTAGTTTATAAGGTCAGTTTTAAATAAATAAACATAATTTGAAGCAAACTTTGAAATATACATTAATTTGTATAGATATATATATTCATAATCATATAAATCCAATGTTATAGAAGTTATATAGTTTGATGTGAGATAGAATATTTTTAGAGTATTCTAATAATATATACATTTTTATTTTATTAAAATATATATTTATATCGTTTTAACCTTCTCATTATATGCGACTATTCTATGAATGATTGCGTATCTTGATTGTATATTCGTGACCTGCATGATCGTTTTTTATTTCATAAAATATATAATATTTCAAAAAAATATATAAATAATATATACGTATAAAAAATAACATGTCTCTGATAAATCAAATTAAATAAAAAATAAAAAAAATTATATTACTTAAAATAATATTTATTGAAAATAATAAAAAAAATCGTTCATATTATAATACTAACATCGAAATTATTTAATTTTTAGTTTTTATATTTAAATCGTTCGCATATAAAAAATGCTTACATTTCAAGCTAAAAAATGAACATTTCATTTGTTGTTGTTTTAATTGTTTTAATTATTTTTTTTTACATTTTAAATAAAATTTTGGCAAAATTACAACAATTTTATATTATTGTTAAAATTGTATATTTTTATAATTAAGCTCATTTCTTCGTTAATTATAAAATTATAATACTAAAATATATAAACAGCATTTCATTTATATTTATATTTATATTTAAATTTATATTTAAACTTTATAACAAATATTGTATCGTTCAAAACCAATCCCTGAGTGTTCGTGGTAATTGATTTCATTACGAATTTTGTATAATAAAATTTTGTTATTTATTTATAAATAATTTTATTAATTAAGTAAAGGCTTCTATGGTTAAATACTATTAAACACATAAAATTTGATTTATTAGTTATTAATGCATATTCATATATAAGTTTAGTAATATTTAATTAAAAAGTGCTTATAAAGTTTAAATGTAAATTTTTTTTATTAAATAAAAAAGTGCTTGGAAGAAAATTCGCTTGAATGAATATTTTTATATAACGTAGAAATGAATGATAATCATAAGAGTTATAATTATAATTATAATTAAAGTACACGGTTTAGAAGTTGTCAACAGTTAATAAAATTTTAATATTTAATTAATTAATTTTTCTGCTAAAAGGGTTTTATCTACAAACTTATTAACAATGTTTTTTTTTTATATTAACTAATTTACGAATTTATTATTTAATAATAATTAACATTTATTTCAATTAATGTTTAAATATGTAATGTATATTGTATTGTATATAAACAGTATCTATACTGTTCGTATGTAAGTGTATGTAAGACGTTAGTGTGTGTATTTTGTTTTAATAAATTTTTGTAAATTACTTTCTTCGACATTATATGAAAGTAATACTGAAATTTTTTTTTATTTTATTTTATTTTATTTTATTTTATTTTATTTTATTTTATATTGACTTTTAATAATTTTTAACATTTTTTATATTGTTCACCGTAAATAGTTTTACAATATAACATTCTCATAATTAACAATACATCGGTATATATTTTTTTATATCATAAATCGAATTTATTTAAAATTTTTACAAAGTGGTGCATAAAATAAAAACAATTTCAAATTGTATCTAAAACGAATTTGTATCTAATTAACTATTCTCATCATAAGAATGTTGGAATTAAGCTTTGTTCTTATGTATTTCCTATAAGCTTTTTTTTTAAAGATTACAAATTTATTAACTATTCTATTGTTTTGCCTAAATAACTATATATATATATATCTGGTGTTAAAATATTGTATATAACCATTTTAAGGTAAATAACTTATTTTTTGAATCTTCCATTGGGCCGTAACAATGCAATATTTTGCTTTTAAACGCACTTCTTTATATCTAACTCAGCGATTTATTATTTAAAAATATTATTATTATTATGTCTAGCAGGTAAATGATTCAGTATTTGTTTTATTTTTCTAAAAATGTATATATAAATATTGACGACTCCGAAAATTTTTTAGTAATTATAGTTCATTACACTACTAAGTACATTTCTCTAAATCATTTACACAAAAACAGGTAACATCTATGAGGCCGTAGGCGTGGGCACAAAGTAATGAAGACCATTTGTCTGCAAGAGAGAAAATAATGTATTAACTGTGGTTTTGTAAGTAATTACAGAATAACCTACCGCCATATCATACTCGGTAATATAAGCGGGAATTTCTAACTGATCCTTAGTAATAGCTGAATACAAATGTTCCACACCAGGAAGAGAGTGAACTTTCGCTTTGATGGCTGGTGCCATAAATGTTGTAAACCACCAAGTCATCATCTGAAAAAATATTTATTATTAAAATTTTTATGTTCTATAACAAGAAATCTATTTCGAACAAAAAAAGAATTAATTCTGAGAAAATGTTTTAAATTCAAAAATTTTAATTTAATTTAATATTTATTTAATAATAATAAATTTATTACTGTCATATTGTGTATACAAGCATGAAGGAAGTTTCGTTCATAAATAACTAGTAGATAATAGATACCACTAACACCGCTAATAGGCAAGACTTACTTATCCTATATAATGTATTAACTATAATGCAAGCGAAAAAAGTTACTTACTTATTTGAACATAACAACCCGTAACGGGATTTTAAAATGAAGCAGTTATTTTTTTCAGACACTCTACTATGCGAACGCATTCTCCAGTCTCGTACATCAAGTTCGGTTAATGCTTCCTCAACTTGATCAATCCACCAGAGACACGATCTATCTCTATGCTTTTTTTTCCCAACTACGTCTTCAAATATCTTTTCACCCATTTTCACGATAAGCCAGCGATATCCATGTCCTAAATAAAGTTTGTACAGTTCGTGGTTCATTCTTGTGCGGTAGTCCTCGCAAATTCGTAGAAGACTAAAGGTCTTACAAAGAACTTTTCTCTTTCAAATTCCCAGTGCTGCTTCATCACTTTTTGATAATACCCATGCTTCTGTACCCTACAGAAGCATAGGTAGAAAGAGTAACCTATAGCGCGTAAGTTTTGTTTTTCGAGAGAGAACTCTACATCCCAAAGTCCATAGCACCTGCTGGCAATTGAGATTCCTCAGCTGATCTCAAGGCTGACACCGTTGTTGTTCGTCATGGCGGTGCCATGATAGAAAAAATCCGTGACAAATTCGAAATGATAGTCGCCAGCCTCTAGCTCAGCGTCCGAGTGCCGCACATTTCTACCAGTACCCGACATATACTACGTTTTGTCCTCATTCACCCCTCAGGCCATTTTTGCAGATTGCTTTTCAATAGCAGCAAATGCAGCTGTAACATAATGCTTGCTATAACCGATGATGTCGATGTCCTCAGCGGAAACAAGGAGCTGTACACATTTACAAATAATTATTCCATTACGATGAACACCTGTCCTGCGCGTGATCACTTCCCTGACGAAATCGGAAAGATGATATAATAAGAGATCGCCTTGTTTGATCAAAAGGTTCAGAGAAGCTCGATTCTACCTTGACGGAGCTACGGGTATTGCTCAACGTTTTTCTGTAGAGTCGTATTAAATTGATAGGGATACTGAGCTCAGACATTGCGACGTATACGCATGTATTATTTAAATAAAACAGATACTACCCTTAATTGAGGATAATAAATACACCAATGTATCACAAAAAGTACCACAATGAATGGATCGCTTTCTTTATATCATACATACAGTAACTCCTTTTGCAACGCTGATAACACCAGATTTTGACTAACGTCTAAAAAGTTAATTGTCACGCACAAATACGTTTATCTGTAATGTGTGTGTTAAATGCAGTTCTATTACGTAGTTCTATAACGTCGACTATTAGTTTTCTTTCTTAAAAGCACACTAATATTGGAGCCCCATTAGAATAATTTGTATGAATAACATTATCATTTTCTTCTTCTCCACAGCTCCTACACTAAATATGAATGGAACCTCTATTCGGTCAACAAATTTGCCCATTTGATAGTGTCTTAAATAGAACAAGAACTGTTGTATATGTGTCACTTTTAGCCTATTCATCGATCCTAAAGTTGCTCAGAAAAGTTATATGGCCTGGTATGTGCTTTAAGTTAAGCTAAAAATGAATCGACACCTCATCCAAATCTGTTTCATATTCTCAGACAAGCTAACTTATTGTAACAACTTCAGATAACAACATAATGACGACTTGATCATCAATAAAATACAAATAGATCCGCTAATCGAAAGGATTATTGTGTCTGGCGATTCTTAGGCAGTATTACACCAGCCATTTTAATATCTATCAATTATTACTACAAATGATTTATGTGGCTTATTGTGTATGCTATATTTATTAGTATACTGAATTTAAGTAGTGTTCCACTGATTTAGATTATGTCTAACATAGTAGCTGTACAAATGAGAGTGAGATTACGGTAAAGAGAATTAGGAGCAATAAAAAAGCGATATGTAACAAAATGTTACTTTATCACTGCACTTTAGGTGGAACGGCTTTGAAGGTCTCAAAAAATCTTTCTATGAGAGAAGTGTAGAAATATTAGAATAGACATAATTTTATTAGAGCTAATTAATTATATTAATGAAAAAATCACTGATACACACTATTCCATATATTATGTTATATTCATTTAAATTGATCCGTATAATATGTATGTTGCCTAAATTACCTACGAGTATTTGCTAGCATATAAACTAAATAAATAAATAAAAAATTTACTTACTTTTGTCCAAAATGTTGGGTGCACAATATAGAAGGCTTTTAGGTTTTTCTTATATCTTTAAAAAAAGAAACAATTAGTAAATAATCAAATTTTCAAAGAAATAATCTTACTTGTAAGGCAACACACCATACACTTCCCGCAACCAATGCAGTGATGGATAATTATTTGTGGATGTTAATGTGTGGAAGTAAGCAATTACGTAGTCTCCTTTAACGATGGGATCCAAAAGTTTTATAAGATATAATAACGCCTAAAAAATTTTTTATTTTAAATATTTTTTTAGAAATGTTTAATAAAATATATAATAACAAATTAAAGCTTATATAGTGTGTAAATGTAACATAAAAATTGTAAAATCGGTACATTGATTATATCGTAAGAATTCTGTTAAACTAAGAATAGAAATTGATTTATAGATGTTTTCAGAATAAAGAAATAAAAATTAAATTTCAAGATCCAAACTAACTATTTCCTGCCAACAGGAGATCGGATATATATCATCTTGCAGTAAATGAAATTTAATTTCAGAGGCTTGACATAAAGTTCGACTTTTATATTTATTTGATAAAAACACTAACAAATATGGTTTCAAGTTGTATAATTTATACCAAGTACACTACAAAATAAGATATACTATTTATATATATTATTTACTGATATATTATCTACTACTGTATGAGCATTTAGTATAACATACATTGTGACCGAAAGGTTTTCGGAAGTTCTCATTTAAAATTCGCGCGCTGTATATTTTTCGATATTTTAAGTTTATGTAGTTTGGCAGCACTTTCCTTAATTACTATGCCAAAAATGAGCGCGATCTGTCAGACAGTTCGTTTACGGCAGCTGTTGAAACCAGTTCCCCTCAGTAGTGCGTTGCGAAAAAACAATGGAAAAAAATATTGAACAAAGAGTTTGCATCCAATTTTGTGTTTCGAACGAAATTTCGTGTGCAGAATCGTTGCGAATGCTACAAAAGGCTTATGGGTAATCAGTTTTATCGAAAACTCAAGTTTATGAGTTGTACAAAGCCTTTCAGGACGGTCGTACGACCGTCGAAGACATGCCGCGTTCTGGACGACCTTCGGCCTCTACCACCGACGAAAACATTGAAAAGGCAAAGGAAATCGTGTTCCAAAATCCTCATGTGAGTGTTAGAGAGATAGCACGAGAGCTAGGCATCGGTCGTGAGAGCTATCCGCCGTAAACGGCCTCAATTGTGGAAGGATAATTCATGGATTTTTCATGACGATAATGCTCCCTCGCACCGAGCCAACATTATCAACGATTTTAAGGCCAAACATTCAATAAATACCATCGAACAGCCACCGTATTCACCTGATCTTGCACCGTGTGACTTTTTCCTGTTTCCCAAACTCAAATTACCACTCAGAGGAACGCGTTTTGAATCCATAGAAGACGTAAAACAGAATTCGCAGAGGGAACTCAAAGCCATACCGGAAATCGCCTATAAAAAATTTTTTGATGATTGGAAGAAACGTTGGCATTTGTGTATCGCTTCTAATGGAGCATATTTTGAAGGAGATAAAATAAATATTGATGAAGATTAAGAATTTTGCGTTTGTACATTGTGACCGGAAACTTTTCGGTCACAATGTAGGTATCTAACTTGTATTTCTAGATCATTAAACATGTATAAATATTCTATATTCTTTTCATTTTTATATTAGTAGTTTTTAATAGAGCACCATTTATTTATAGAGATTATTATAACAAACACAAACCTTTTCTAAATTTATATTGTGTGCTGGAAACCATTTACCACAGAAAACAATAACAGGACGCCCCAAACGATCAACACCGCTTTGGTAGAGACATCCAATGCCAGAGACCTCATTTAGATCTTCAATTTGTGCACGATGGAGTAAACGTTCATATCTAAAATAAAGTATTTAAAATTAATTTTAGATATATACATATATTTAAAGAAGTAATTGTTTGCAAAAATATTTGAATACTATTATATATATATAGTGAAATATAGTAACATTTTTTAAATAAAAATAATAATAATTTTAATAAACGAGTATATAAGTATATAGAAATATTTTATTGAATATATTTATATGTATCATTATAAACCATTGATACTCTTTATAACATTTCAATCAATTTAGAAAGAAAACCAATTATGACAGAAGTTAGTGCATTATATGAGTCAAAGCAACTTTATATTCAATTAATAGTCAGTCTACCTTTCGACATATGCAAGGATGGACTAAGACTACTATTTGTTAATTACTCATGTAAAAGTCAAATAACTATAATCCTAATTTCAAAAGAATCTCTTATAGAACAGTGCTTATAAGCACATAATTAGTTTCATTTCTACCGTTCCCTGCGGGCTCAGATAGATAAAAATAACACAGAAATGCGCTTTCGGTATTTGTTTCGCATCTAAAAACTTCACAAGTAGTTACTGGTGATCGATTCTATTTATGTATATATACCAATAGTAGTACTAGTAAATAAACTTCTAAATATATATATGGATATATAGTAAAGTACAGACATAGTTTTCTGAAGATGTAAGACTAGGCGCGATTTTGTATTAACAATACACTTAATATTTTGTTATATAAAATCTTTCAAATTTTACAAAGCTCTACTGACACAACTAATCACCTAAGAGTCAAACAGATTTCAAATATAACCACCAACATACTTGTTAAGCGGAAATAATTATAAGTAAGGGCAACATTATCCTTTTACTGTTATACTTATTGAATATTTCTCAAAAAAAATATAATAAGAACATTATCTCTATCGATATCGGAACCCATTATAGGAATCAGACTTGTAATCAATACTATAGAAGACCAAAATAACGCTGCTTAACAGTCGTGATTTTGCTAAACTAGATCATTTACATTTAGTATCCAAAATGATAAAGAAAAAGAAATTTCAAGTTTTCACCCAGAAACCACATATGCTTACAAAGTCCCCTGCGTGTAAAGGGTTAGAATCTTTTCGAGGTAAAGCATGCCTGTCGTAAAAGGCGACTAAAATCCCGGCGCAATTCCAACACTGTTTGGAGTGTGAATGGTAGTAAGTGAGTCAACACTTGCGACACTCGGCCGGAGTTATGAATCTAGTACCATGGGGGTTAAGTAGCTTCAGCTGTCTTGAACAACAAAGCAGTGTCTTGGTGGCTGTGGTTAATACCCAAAGTTACGCGAAAAGATTAATTGTATTTCACTTTCATTCAACGTGGAGTTGCTTATTTACACTGGGTGTTGTGACCTAAAGATTAAGTATCAGAAGAAGGTCGGTCCTCACTCCTTAACATGGAGGAACGATAAATAATAATACTGGATTTATATATTTACAGAGATGCTATATAAACTGTAGATCTTATCCTTTATGTTCGCCTTGTGAACAGTGCTAGGATCAATTGCATCTACTGTGATAAAGATACAAATGTTGCAGATTATAAATTACTTAGTGTCTCCAGCGGTTCCAGACTTAGATGGAATTTGAGTACTATATATAGCATAATACTCAATATAGTTAAATGCAATTAATCTTGTGATTATAATAATGGCAGCCAAACAAAATGAGTTCAACTAACTTTATAAAAAAACGATAAAAAGCTTTAAAAAATCAATATAATTATTTTAAATTAAAATCTACTATTTTAAAAGTATATTGCAAGACATTGCAATAATCTGTCTTCAATCTGTCTTTAATCGATTGTTTGGGGACTGGTTTTCTATGAAAGCAGTAGCCTAATCAGTTTTCTCTTACGAATGGTTTTCTGTGAATCTGAAGTCTATTGCTTTTTATATAAAAACTAAATATATAAATAAAATATCAAAATATAAAAACATAAAATCTAACTTATAGAACTTTGTAGTCTTCCCTCGTAAATAACTGCAAGTATGAAATTTAATTAAGCTTGGTACTCATAGGTTTATTGTATTGTGTATTGTATATAACGTTTAAAGAGAGCTTATTAAAAATTTTGCAAAAGATACAAAGAAGAAAAATTGAAATACATAAAATGAAATAAATTCAAGTATTTTTATTAAACAAGGTCAATAACATATTTAGTCATACAAGTGAATTAATGCGGATTACTGTGAATAAACTGCGTCGAGTACTGTCAGAAGTGAGAACTAAAATTTCGTAAGTAAACAAGTTTGGCAACAATCACAGCCAATATGTCGAAATTGTAGAACTTAAATAAAGCCACTATACCCATATATATATTTTTGAGATACTTTTGATTGATTGATCGATTGGGTTTGTTATAGTATGACAAGACCTGAGTCAGCGTATAAACAAAGGCGCTTATCTGCTTTCCATTTTAATTTCTATTTGCTGAACGTGCCGCATGAAAACTTGTAAACAATCTTTCCTGTGATTGTTTTGGCAATCTTTTTGACTTTAATCAGATTTCTTATCAAGTACGTAGTGCGGGATGCTGTTATCTTCCCATGTGTTATCTAATTTATACTAAAAATCTGACTACCGCATCGCAACTTTGAAACAAATTTTATGACTTCAAATATTTGCTACTCCTGAAAGGCTAATATTTATATTCCAGTATTTATATACTAAGCAGCGTGACTTACTGCGTTATTTTAACTAAACAACGAGAAACCTAAAATTGTGAAACATTTGTAGAATGTATGAAATAATAAACAAATCTTGAAATAGATACATATATTTATATTTTAATATATACATATACATATGTAAACTCAGGTAGATTTACGTAAAAGGTGTGACATAATTTTGTAATGTGTAGGCGCCGAGACTTGGAGGCAGATGCACTCAAAATTTATACTTCAAGAAGCACATTATCTTTGAACTTTGTATTACTATTTCTCTATTATATGTAATTGTTATTGTAACTAGTTCCATTCATTTAAACAACATTATATAAAAATTTTATTGTTAGGCATAGAAAATAGAAATCAATGTAAAGAAAATACTTTACATCAAATAAAGTCAAATAAAATAAGTATTTATTACATTAATCAGTTTAGCTCTCCCTAATCTCCTCTGCAATTTCACTTATATTATAAAAGATTTAAATTATAGTATATAAAAGTGATTATACCTTAACAGAAACCTTAATAAAATCTACACTGAACTTCTTACACTGTAGAGTCAATTACCACAATAAGAACATAGGTGCGGTAGAAAGTAATTCCTATCAACTCTGTCATAAGAAGAAGGAAACGTCAGAATATATGCAGTAATGCAGTATATGCAGTAATATATGCAGTAATTACTAGATTTATACATAGGCTAGAATTGCTTTAGTTTGGCCTTTAGGCGCACAATAGATCTTTTGGGTCGGGATGTATTCATAAACTATTATTTAATAATAATAATAATATAAAATTGATTTCTAACGTTCGTTTTGATGAAAAAAAACTAAATTCTATAAATATGAATAGAGAGGTTTTTATCGAACAGTAGTGAAATTATAAGAACGAAAATTTTTATTATTATTTTTAATCAGTAAAATATTTGGCTGATCATTAATGTATACATTAATATTTATATTTTTGTATAATGAAATATTATAATTACATTAATGTGCTTAAACTATTATTATAATTTCTAATAGGGTTATAGTTTGTTTATAATATATGTAATAGAATTTATTAAGTATTTAGTTTCTATTAAGAAAATAGTTTCTATTAAAAAAATAGTTTTTATTAAGTAAATAGTTTCTATTACCAAAATAGTTTCTATTTAAAAAATAGTTCATTTTGTAAAAATTGACTATACATATCAAATTTGTTTACAAATTCATTGAATCCTTTAACGTTAATCACATGCATAAAATCTAATAATACCATATTAAGACAATAACTTATAGTAGTATTATACTAATAGTCTATAATAATTTAATATTAATAAAATCTTTATAAACCTATCACAATTAAGTAAAGCAACAAAGCTATTTAAAATACTCATGCAGCATATTAGGTAATACGACAGTATAAAACCAGTATAAAAGCCTAAGACAATTTCTGAATCTTAAGCAGAAGTGAAGATATCAAAATATCAGTATACCTATAGTAAAGGAATACAGTGTTTTAAAATGAGATACAAGAATACTCACTACATATAGAAGGAATACTATATTCTAGACACTTACTGACTAGAACAACGAATAGAATCAAATAATTCAAACAAATAGACCAATATTCCAAAATGCAGTTCCTCAAAACAAAAGGTCAGAACCATACTGTATTCGAAAAGAAAGATAAAGCTAAATTCAGAAAATCACGAAAATCTGTTTATCAATATTGCTTACAACTAATAGAGACAATTTTATTTAGTACACTAATTTTTCCTATACGTCCCGCGCTTTGGAACAGAGAACAGTCATCGTAAGTAAAAAGTTTGTAAATCATCTTGGAGATATAACGACCTGAAACATTCGTAAAACATGTGCTCAAATCAATTGTTTTGTTTACAAAAATAAAAAATTGAACTATTGGGAACGAAGATGCATCATCAAAATGATGCAATACCGTTAATAAAACTCATTGACTGAGTCACCATTTGAATCGACCAAGACAATTTATAGAAAAATAAATCTGTTTATGGTTGGTCAGTTACAATAGCTGCCCTCACTAAGTTAAAAATCAAAAATAGAATCTAGAGAAATTAGGTGATATATTTTTAAAACAAAGTTTTTAAAGCCACATGTGCAATTATTAAAATAAAATTGTTCTCTTCAGATCACCTTACATTCTAACTCACATTCCACCCATACATCGTAAGTTATCAACAGATTTTCTCTCGGCAATAAGAGGTTAATAAATGGATGCATAATACGCGCGCTCATAAGACTTTAAAAACTTTTAAACATATTTATATATTAAAAACAAATTGCAATACTGAAGAATGACTTTAAAGAAATTTCTGCTGATATTAATAAGTCTAATGTTATTTAAACTAATCTTTAATTATTTAGAATTTTAGAAGTTTCATAGATGTCTGTGGGTTATAGAGATTAATTAACTTAGCTCTGAATGATATTACTTTTGCCTTACAAGCATTATTGGTTGCTACTAAAATATAAAACGATTCTTCTATAATATGTAGTTCTATAATACTATATAAAAATTATTATTAAATTGTTCTTAAATATCTTCTCTTCATATGACGTTATCAAGATCTCTCCAAATGATCACATTGATTAAACTATAACTCCACTGAAATTTTATTTAGGTAAATTCACACAAGCTAACAATAACTCTAGTATTTTTATAAATATTAAAGAATCTCATTTAACAAACCATCTTTATTTGTGATTTAATCAAAGATCAGAGATGCCTTTCTGACATGCTGATCTTTACAAATTTATAAAGTCTATGTTCCAGTGTTAAGTTCAGAAGTCTGCCTTTATCTATTTATTTGACACTTGTGACATTTTGTATTTTAAATATTTGTGAAACGAATTTTTTTATATATATTTTACTTTTCGAACCTTTGACAGTGATTAATTTATTAAAAAAAATTTTAGAATTATTCATTTTTTTAATAAAAGTGAATTTTGTAGTCTGACAAGGAGATAAAAGTGACAGATAAAAATCAATTTGAAATATTTTATATAATCTACGTGCCAATAAATCCAATGACCTTTACTAAGAAATAGTAGCAATATAAAGGCATACCGATACTTCAGTTAATAGCTGCAGAAAGCCATTTTATCATGTAAATAGCAGTCTATATACTATATATATATGTGTATCATATTTATATGGCTATATCTGTACTTTTAAATTTTTATCGTGATGAGAGGGTCTCTTTAAAATAAATTTGTAGTTTTTATTTGTCAAATTATTATCTACAATTTTTTTTTTTTTCTTTTAGTCTCTATATTTTTTATTGAGCTGAAAATTGTAGATCACGTAAAAACTACATGATTATAATTAAAAATTGAAATAAAAACTTTTAATAAAATCTGCACGAACTAATTTATTTTTAATTATACTTTAAAGTAATTATCATGTGAGAATTTATAATATTTTTATTTTGGGATGACATCAATTTGAATTTGTTGTTGAGAACTTTGTTATAGAAAACAAACATTACGAATAATAAAAACACATTGAAAACATATTTGGAAACGAGGTGCTCGTCTTCTTGTCTTCTTAATCTTTATGAAAGAAATTGAAAGGAATATTGCTCATAAAAGTGGCGAATGATCTTAGGAAGAAAAATACTGAACATTAACAGTTGATTTACTTGAGGAATACTTTTTCACCATATATGGACTATTACATACTTCAATGAAATTCAATTTTGTATTAGATTTGACTTTATAATGTAATGGAAAAAATTTGTAGACCTGCCCCAATCTAACACATGAATATTTCAGGATATACCCATGTGCTTAACAGTTACTTGTCACGTATTAACGCGTCCATTCCTTATGTGTGCCCAAACTGCAGCTCCACGCCCCATGACGTATCCCATCTGTTTTCTTGCCCCAATGCACACACCTATTTAAGTCCAATCGACCTTTGGACTCGTCCTCTTGAGGTAGCTAGATTTCTTCGGCTGGATCCTGGTTAGTTTCAAATTATACCAACCCTTCCCCTTCTTTCATCCCAGTACCACAATCCCACCTATCCATTCCTTTACCCATGTATTTGTCTCGTAATCCTTACATGTTATCTGCTTTTAGGTCCCGGCGGGTTACAACAACAACAACAAATCTATATTTAACATTTTATATTTATTTCTTATGCCCAAACCTCCAACTCCTCAGATCAAACTGAAGAATTATCACCAAATAACGACATTTAGTTTTTTGTAAAATTGAGGCAACTGACACTGTTAGAAGTATGAATAACATTATCGTATTTTTTAGTTAACTCATGGTGAATTTCACAAACATAATATAAAAATATATAAGATAAGTTAATCACCATTATCCCTTTTATAATATTTCTATAATCTTCAACCAGCAACAAAATATAAGTGGGAATAGAAAATCAATATCGTAATCTTTAAATAGATCTATTTTTTAAATAGCGGATTTTTCATGTATAAACAACATATATTTAATATTTCAGCAGAAGAATGCTAGAAGAATGTAGAAGGGATCTGATCAACTAGTTCTACAATAGCAATATTAGTAAAAGCTTGTATTATAGAATGTATAATTTCTCAATATATACAGTATATAATTTACACTTTCATTTTTATAATAGATCTATACAATATATTATCGGAAGGCTGTTAGAAAAAAGATCATCGTTTTGCTCTTTCAATTCTTTCATCATCCAACAACTCTCCAGCTTAGACTGAAAGCTGGTAATATTCAAGTGATCAAGCTGTCACGCTGTCAAGTTGTTAATACCTGCTGTCACTAATCAGGCTATAATCTTTATATAAAGATTAAGAAATCTTTAAGATCTAGTTCCAATATTTAAACAAAGATATGGTAGAGTAAAGGTTACTCATCTTGTTTTCTTATTGTTAGTCATCATCTAATAATTCTTTAGCTAAGAATAAAAGCTGGTATCATAATAGTTATTAATTTTGTAATACCTAATTTGTTTAAAAGTTAATTGGTTTGATTTATGTTTTTAACATTTTTTCTTATAGTTTAATTGTACTTCATATCATTTATTCATTTATTCATTTAACATATGATTTTCAACAAGTATGCTCACATTGTAGTGATGACATTTTCAATAATGTTAAGTTGATTTCGATCGTCATTAATAATTAAGTGGGAAATACTATATAATTCATCATCTGTTGTCTATTGTGCTAACACAAATTATTTTAAGCGATCATCAAGTTTTTAATAACCTTGAGCACTTTTGACGGTTTTGTTTTGTTTAATATGTTTTATGGAGCAACAAATCTGATTTCAAACACAGTTAAATATTTTTAATAAATCTATTAATTGACTTATTTAATGCTTGTTTACAAAAAAATAATATAGAACTTGTGCCTTTGAAATTTGAAGTGGTAACTAATCGTGTTTTGATGGTCACGAGTTCTAAGCCTGACACTTGCAGTCCAAACACATTGTAAACGGACTATAAACTAATTAAGAAATTCGAATATTTTCTAAGACCACTGATGATGAATACTTGGCAATATTCGAAATAGTGTTTAAATTAAATAAATTAAATAAATTTTTGTCCTTGTCTTTTCTTTGCTATTCGAATCCGTTTTAAATAGTTTGTTTTCGTCATAAAGACAAGTCACTCTCGGCTTGAGAGATAAAAAAAATATAGATTCAATATAAAATATATAAGTAGTAGTGGTAGTAATAGAATATATTGCGTTCGGTTTGAACATTAGTTGTTCGAGGCGCTAATGTGTCCATTGTTGATTTATTGTATCCTATATACTATATTGTAAGTATACCCGTTATTTTTTTCTTTCAGAGTAGCAAAAAATACTCGCAACTTATGAAAGAAAACATGTGGAGCAACAATAATGCTCTTAAAATCTTCAGAGTTAAGTTTTACTCGCAAAAAAAAATATTACGTTTTAAGTTTCAGTGGAGTCAAATTTAAAAATCAGTCTATTGTGAATGTTTACTGGACAAAATTCTTGTCATCCGTTAAAATCATATGAGCAATAGGTTTACTAATATATACATATATAAATTTAAATACATACATAAATAAATTAATTTAAATATATAAGATAAAAATGCTAAAAATGCCATTGCGTTTCTAATATTCATTTTGTTTTCACTTTTATTTGAATTAATTAATTTAAATTAATGTAATTTAGTGAAACAAAATACAGATGTCAAAAACAATCATTTAAAATATTTTAAAAGTGTTGCCAATTTGTTTAAACCAGACTTTTTGCTGTTTTTTTACAACTCTGTAAGAAAAAATTACGACTAATATAAACTGTATAAAATATAAATATTTCTTTTTACCCATAATATACTGAATTCATTATAAAAGCTTTTGATGTGACTATTAATATATTATAATATATTATATATATAATATATTTGTCTATCTTTATCTATATTCTATATATTTATCTTTTTGTCCATTTAATATATTTTTATAAGCAAAATAAACAAGTTGACTATATTTGCTAATCTATTACGATATCACTATAAAATAATTTGAATATTCACATAAATATCGGATAACATTCAGAAAACCAAATTAAAATCCAAATTGGCTTTGATTAAGGCACTCAGTTAGTTCATGGGTGCCTGCCTATGCAATGGGCGCTTAATTAAATTGGAATGTCCTTGACATTTTTTTCACAATTCATTTACGCTCTCAATTAAATACTCGCTCGTAGTTTAATTTGAAACACTAACCTTTCTTCTGCTGTTTCCACAGGTTCAGTTTGCATGGCATTAGCAATGTCGTCGGTGGTTTCTTGCATGGGACTTGAGCCCAAATCTATGGAAGTCATACCCTCAACCATTGTCATTTCTCTTGGTGTAAAACGATGTGTGTTTGTGTGCGTTAAATTGTCGAAAACTTATGAACGTGTTTAATTACGTTACGTTATTTAATTGAAGGCACGGTTCTGTTGTGGGCTCCGAAGGTTATTTATATTTGTAGGAATTTTTACTTTGTATCTATTTGCTTATTGATGATTCAGTTCTGGTGGGGGTGGCGTATTGGTGCTATTTATTCGATTTACGTTTCTGGTTAGATTTTTTAAATATTGATTTTTGATTTAGTCACAAGAGCGGAAAAATCAAGACAAAAATATATTCTATAGATTTTGTTATGACTTTTTTCTTTCTATTTATATTTTATTTTTGTGTTTTTATATTTAATTTTATTTATTGACGTAATACCGAACAAAATTTTCCTTACAAAGTTGTTATATTCTCTTTTTCAATTTACTCAGGAAACTTTCTTATTTTTCTTTTGTTTGAAAAATGGAAAATTATTTGAATTTGTTTTCGAATTTTAAGTTCGCGTCAAAGCGTGAAAGATACAATTTTCTCTTGCTCAATAACGTTATTTTAATTTATTTATTTTTACTAAATATATATTTGATTATATTTGTAATTTTCAATAAAGAACTACAAAAAAACTACAAAATCTGCTTCAAAAAGTTACTTTCAAAAAATTGACTATAAAAAGTGTGAACCAGGTCGCCGGCGGAAGGGGTGCTTGAGTACACAAGACCGTAATAATAATAATAATATTTCGGAATACTTTTCAGTGTAAAGAGATTTCGCGCGTTTCAACTCAGCGGTCTTCACAATTTGTATCTGCGTTTGGAACAACCCGTACTGTTTAAAACGTACAACTCGACTGATTTCTTATAGGAAAACTGAGAATTGCGATACATTTTAAACGAACGATGGCACTGAGTCTTGTGTACTGCGCAACTCATATTTTCTGCATGAGTGCTCAGTTTGGAGAGTTTTTCTATGTGGCGAGATGCGTTGGCATGTTTTGCTCTATGTGAAACATCACAAAATTGTGTTTAAAATAATTTCATTAAAATCATTCAAATAGATTAATATTTAAACATTTCATTCATTCATTCATTCAAATATAATTTATTAATAAATACTAAATAACTGACAATTAACAAATGCGATGATATACAATGGAAATGCGGACTCCTGGTATGAGTATTTTGGATTCAGAAATTAAATATATTATAAGAGGCGTTAGGAATTTCTTTAGCATATGCGCAATTTAATTTCAGCATAATTACTTTAATTAATTAAAACGAAGAACAAAAAAACATTTACTAAATAAATATTAGAATATCTTTTTTTCATTCAATATACACATATGAGAAGATATTTGAATATCTGTTCATTATCTATATTTATTTTAACTATTATTATTATTCTATATCAATTCAAATATCTATTTAATTTGTGTGAATAGATATTCAAATTTCTATTAATATATATATTGAATATGTTTGAATAGATATACAAGTATATGAATATATATATATGTATATATTCGCCAGTTAGACATTGCACAAAGCCAGACTCTGAGAACACTTTTCAAGGTACCATGATACATTAGGACGGATGACATCCTCAGGTACCTCAAGATTGATCCGATCAAAAAATGCATGAAGGAGAGAGCCCTAAAATTATTTGCGAGAACTGACAGGCTTACCAATACCGTGTTATCGAATCTCAGAATGGTTACAAACTCCTCGGGGAGGTATGCAGATCTGAAGTCAATTATTGCTTAGTCTGATGAAGTGATAAACAATAATCCAGTCAAGGCGTAAAGAGGGGTTTTAAATGTACCACGAGTTAATAAAGAGTAAAAGTGCTCAAGTGTACTGGCTCGAATAGCTTCAACATAACATATATACGTATAGATATTCAAATATATATTCATTTATATGTTGAATAAATATTTAAATATATATGTATAAAATCTGCAATATTACATACTTCAAAAATTGAACATATATGAACAACTGCAATAACTAAAGTAATCAAAAATAAAATAAGGGAAATAAAATTATAATTAAATAAAATAATAAAGAATAATGCAAAACAATTTAAACAATACATATCACTGGCGTATACAGAAACTTATTTAAGGGGGGAAGTTATGAAAAATCATACAAATTTCATATCAAAATCTTTAATTCAAAAAGATCTAACATATCTAATACAAAACCGGAAGAAATAGAAATTCATTTAAGGCAAGGTTTTTGAAAATTTAAGGTTCATAACAATACATTGAATTTAAAAAAAATCATATCAAGTATAAAATGATATGAAATGTTTTAAGTCGATTTGGACCCCAAAAACCCTCAAAAAAACTACTAACTATTAGGACTAAAACAACTTCAACTTGATCAAATTTATTTATAGTAATGCCTTTTTTCTATTAGACTAAGGTAAGGTTAAGTTAATTAGTCTAGCCGTGAGCAATACTAATGCCCTTTGGTCTTTCGATTGAGCTAAGGGTTAATGCAGGTTTGTAGTAGGCATTGTGTTAAATACTGAGCCTTGTAACCTCCCAACTTTCCAAATTGTGAACCCAAAAGTTTTTAAGGATTTTTGTGAGAACATAGGATATAAACATAAGAGATATTTGAAATTCGATTAAACTTGGGTACTTAATATAATTGTATACAGGTTTAAAGGATAGCAGCAATAAATAAGTGATAGGAAAGCTAGAAAAACTAGATACACTGAAGGTTACTATGGTATTTAATTAATATATTTTAGTACTAAGGGTAATACACTTTCTATTAATATTATTGAAGACAGTGAAAAGAAAGTTTAACGAAATTGCTATCCCAATAAAAAAGGAAGCCAATGAGAACAAATTTTGAAATTTTCATTTTGTGATATATTTGGAATTCTATGAATTCTATAAATTCCATTTTCTTTAAAAATAAATCTGAAGAACTCAGATGTAAAAGTCATCTAATACAAAAAATAGCTTAATCAATATGTAAATATACCTTAATCAATTCGATGGAAAAAGAACTGTAAATCATCTTCGATCTTGATGAGAACTAGGAAAAAGTTGAGAGGAACCGATAAGATTGAAAAAGTGTTGCAAAGAGAGATAATGTTATACAATTAAATGTTTTATCAATGATAGAAGAATAGAAGATAAAATGGCGAAGATACAAGTTAACAAATCAAATAGAACACGAAATCAGTGTTTTAGTTGTAGTATAGAAAAAGAGAGTACAAGAAGAGATTGGTTAAGAAGAGTGAATACAAGAGTCTATTAAACTAAACATTTTTTGTTTCTTAAGAATTTAAATATTATTATTCCCTCTAGAAGGAACATGAACTTTCTTAGACGTTATTACTTTATTTTCGTTAATATTTTCATTTAATATGTTAAGAATATATTGATTTTTAAATGAGTTTGGAATAAGTATATAAACTATAATCTTGTGTGCTTTGAACCCTATATGCGTTTAAAGGGTAATAACCATTTTAATTTGGAAAATTTTTTATTAACGTAACGTATTTTGCTCCTATTTGTTCTTATTTAAAATAAAATTAAGCGACGATATATATATATTCCAATTCAAACACGACTTTATTTCTATTAGATATGAATATAAGGCAAATGAATCACTTTATAAAGTAATAACAATATAAATAAAAGCACACTGAAAATAATAGCTTATTAACTAAATTTCTCCAGGTTGTTATTAAAATATTAGAACTTGCATCTGATTCATCAGTTTGCATAGTACTTACTCAATACATTAAATCAATTTGCAAGTAAATGAAATTTAAAAAAAGATACTAAATTTGACACTTAATTAATGGGTTATGGAAGATTCGGTATTTTTTACTAAAAATGTTTAACACAAAAAACTTTTATTGATTGCTCTAAATATTGCTAATTTGACTACATTTGTATTGTTAAGCAAATAATAATTATTATTATTATTCATTTATTATAGAATACTGCGACAGAATTAGAACAGTTTAAGACCTGAATAACCTTTTTGCATTCAAATAAAACTACAAACAGACAGAAATAAATAGACTGCGTCATCTCATTAAGTTGATCAAAAACTTATATATATACTAATACTAAATACTCTTTTAACACTATTCAAAAAAATGAAACAACTTAAAACAGAAACAAACCACAGTTACAGATCATAACAACCAGTATAAGAAAATCATAACCTTAAATATAAATATATAGTTCATTATAAGAATAAGACCATTTTAAGGCCATTTTCAATACATTAAAGACCTTAATATTAATTACATTATAATTGTATTTCGTGTAAAAAATTGTTTCCATTAAAAACTGTTTCACATAAATGAGCTGCAGTTAAATGCTTCAAAGCAGCACTCTTTTAGAATTAATCTATAAATAACTCTCCGAGGAGTACATTTGATTGTACACTATTTTAATAAAAACAAGTGGAAAATTGAGTTAATATATTTCAGTCGTTCTTTTATAACGTTTTTAAATCCCGAAAATAATTTAATATTGAAGTTGTAGACTTGATCTACTTGCTTAACAGAAAACATCAAGAAATTTGTTGGTATATTGGCACCAATTTATTTTGGCAGTCACCCACAAAGACGTATTATATCTTTTTTTTTTATACTTAAATATATGCCGACAAGCAACAACGATACATATTATATATCATATAGGTTGGAGTAACGACAGATAATAGCCCGTTGTAATACCACTTGACCAAAAATACCACCAAAACAGATAAAGAAACCATAACTATCTGCTCATAGACAACATCAAAAAGGCACAACTTCAGCATATGAGTAAAAATGAATCAACCTGACAAGTAAATAAAGTTGGCTATGTTCCTAATTTTAAAGTATGACAGCTCTATAAGATCAGTTCAAAACGGGATTTCAAGATTATTAAGTCTTCTATTGTTCAAAGATAAACATTAACACAAGACATGAACAATTTTTCCTTTTTTTGCAGAGCCAGCAGTACAACAGAAATCGTTATAGGATAAATGATTTCTCATTGCATGACTTCATAATGTGCAATGACCCGTCAACAACATTACCGATGTGCTTAATAGATTTTGATTAAGTTGAAGTAGTTTTTCGGTACGTTTGTTAGACCAAGGAAGTCTTTTAGTCTGACGAGATTTTTCATTTACCTAATTTAGAGCCGTTGGTGTAAATATATCAGTGAAAACCGTATACACAGGAACTACTAAAACTAAAATCCATTCTTCTTTACTGGGTATGAGAGAGCTAAACACTAGTTCTAAACTTGTCATAAAATACATAACTTTATCACTTCGACATTAAATTATTTATACACAGACTATCTGTAGAGTTCTATAAATTTTA